CTCTCTTGATATGCACATATCCAAAGTATTGTAGAGACAAGATCCAAAATTCTTTATTCTCGTTCCTTTTTCAACATCACTTACTTTTCACTATTCATAAATCTTCCAAGAATAAATCTTTCCAATCCCAGATGAAAAATATGCAAAAGATTTTTTTTTTTTTGTAAGCAAATATCCACACAAGAGTTGCCATTACAAAACACATTAATCTCTTGCGGAATAAATAAATAAATAAATAAATAAATAAAATAAAAACTAACCCAGAGAAGAGAAATAATGAATCTTCTCAAAGTTTTTGTTTGATTTTTATGATGCAAAATCTGAAGGAAAGAAACAAAAGTTGTAGCCTTTATTTTATTTTATTTTATTTTTTTACTTTTTTGTTCTGTTTTGATTTTGTGCTTCTGTATTTACAAAACATGAAGAAATTTAATTTTTTTTATTTTATCTTCAATTTTGCGAAATCAAAAAGTAAAACAAAACCAAAATCAAAGATAAAATTGAATACAAAAGAAAAATCGAAAATTAGAGGAAGAGAGGAAAGAGAAGGGAAGAGATAGGAGTTTTGTTTTTCAAAAATAATCTGACATGGCTGAGCCACGTTAAGTTTAACTTTTTATTCGATTGTTTAGTTCGATTCTTTTATCATTTTTCTTTTTCTATTTTATTATTTCTTTCGGCTTGCTACCCAAATCCACACTTCATAACCTATATTGAATCACACACTTAATTAAATGTAGGTCACGAATATAGAGACAATGTGATAAGATATTTTTAGTTTAGAAGGGTGTTTCATTTTAATGGAAGTTTTTTACACCAATTTAAAAATAAAAGAGGATTATGTGATTTTATCCATATATCATATTAGTGAAGCAAATAATCTTATAATGAGTTAGTGTCATTGGTTAAATTTATTTTTTTCAAAAAAAAAAAATCTTATTATCCACTCTGTTACGTGGGATGGTAGCAGGTGAAAATAGTAAACAAACTACTCTTTGCACTAATTTTGGTTAAATTTAGTACTTTTATACTCAAACCCTGGTACATGTACTTCGATTTGTTTTTTTTATTTGGGGACACTTTTTTTTGTTCTATAAGTTATATATATATATATATATATATATATAGGGCCAACACCATTTATATACGAAGATTATATATAAAGACCAGAGAGAGCAATGCCATCTGCCATTTGTGAAAGCGTCTAAATCATTTGGCACAGTTTTGTGATACTCAAGAGAGGAACTAGTAATGGGCTAATCTGGGCTATAGCCCAGATCCAATTGAAAAAAAAAATTAGTACTATTGTTCCTATAAGCCCATGTACTATTTTTCCTCTTCCTATCAGCCCAACCCAATCCATAGTATTTCTATAACTGAAAAGAGTTATAAAATTTACAAAGGTCAAATCTTAAATATGATCAAGCCCACAAACCATAGCCATGCCCAATCACAAAATAAATCATAATAAAATATAATAGGACCCAGCCCAGAAAATCAAATACATTGTTAGTCTATCGAAGAAAACCTAAACTCTCCATGTGTAAGGCACTAAGGCATAGATGGATGGATATTATGGATTACTATTGTTAATCCAGTGAAATATTAAATTTTATTTTTGTAAAAAAAATAATAATAATAATAAAAAATGGACTTTGTTGATGACTTGATAATTTCTTATTAAATTGGGTAATTTACTATATAATGGATTAATAACTAGTCAGGGGCGGAGCACACAGGTCTTACTTTCTAATGTGAATTTATTGATAAGGAACATATATATCTTTTATTTTTGTAGTTATTTATTTTAATACTTGTATGAAACAAACTTCAATGGATTTTTTTACTGTGAAAATGTGTAAATGTGTTAGAAGGTTGTAAATTATTAGGTTTAATTAAATAACTGATGCATGATAATTATATATTTAAAATATGGATGACACATTAAACAATCATAGATTTAATTATTTTTAGTCTTCCATACTTTGCAATCCTGACCCTGTCCCTGGTGATACTTAATTTGCAATTGGATGGATAATGATGATTACTGATTAGGCGTGACTCATTATTACTCATGAACAACCTCTCTTTAGGGAGTAAATTAATCAACATTCTTTTCTTTTAGGGGTTATATAATTAATTATAAGGTCCACTCATATGCTTTGAAATTATAAGGGGTTTGAAAATCTGAAAACTTCTCTTTATGTGGCCATTGCCATAATTGTACCAAAAACAGTAAATGTGATCGTACACTATACGTTAGTAATGCCCAACCACTAAGAGCCACTGACATATGGGAAATTAAACGTCAAATCCAACCACATACAACCGTACACCAAGTTTCACCGTCCGGCGGACAATATTTCCGGCCACCACTATAAAACGATGGTGAAAAAGTTAAAAAACGACAGAGTCAGATTTCCGGCGCGGCTTTCAACCTCGCGAGAATGAGAAGCTGCCGGAGTGTAATACAAGGGGGAAGCACAAGGCGTCGAAAACGGCGTCGTGTCTTCACCAACGTCGTCAATCTTCATCACCACCTCCGGCAACTCTTCGCCGACCTCCGCCCGTAAACACTCGTCAAACAGAATACTCTTAGCCTTAATCTTCGCCGTCAAAATCTACCATCTCATAATTGGACCAACAAAGTGCACTGGTTGGTAGTTTAGTGGTAATTTTTAAATAAAAAATTGAGGATTTAAGCCCCTTTAAGTAAAGATTAAAATAAAATAAATAAAGTATAAACTAAATAAAACAAATCTACTACTAACACTACAAATCAGTGCACAATATCAGAATTTTTTTTTTTTCTATATTTGGATTACATACCTATAAAATTTTAATACTACCCCACTGAACTTACAAAAAAATTCCATTATTGCTCCCATTCTATAGTTTGAATTTTTTTTTAGTCTTAATATTATTAAAGATCGTCCCCTCGCACATAATTTTCTGGATCTATCTATATATATATATATATATATATATATATATAACCACACACATCAACAGATATATATGTCTGTGTATGTAATTGAATTGAAAAAATAAAGCTTCGATTCCTAGTATATATCTGTTGATGTGTGTGGTTATATATATATATATATATAACCGTACATACCAACACTGCTCGTAATAGTATATATTGACACACATATGGGAGGAGCAAAGCCGAGCATAGGGCGAAGAAAAGGTACTGTCTCACTCCTCAGCCTAGACGTCAGGATCATCGCCGTCGATTTGATTATCGCCGACGATCAATGGTGGCGGTCGTCGTCAGTGAAATTTGGAGAGGCTTTGTCATGATCCAAGGGTTGGGTGGAGAGAATCTGTTTGGATTCCGCATTTGACAGGGATGTATCACTTAAAATAATAAGCTAACTCTTAAAATGATTGTCAACAGGACAAACCAAAGAAATGTCATTGTAAATTACCCTGATATTAACAAGCAACATTACAAAATAGCATGCCCAACATCCACAACCTATAGAGGCAATGGAGCGTAGCTGAAGACTGAAGTGATAGGAATCATGTAGCAGACTGGGTCTAAGCGCTTACAGATTCCCAATGGCATTGGAACTTTCAACTTTAGTCGTCCCAATTTTGTGGGCAATTTCTCCGGGTTCCTAATTGGGTACAGCCCAATAATGGTTATAAATTTTCTATTTTATTTACTGTATTCTTCGGCCTTGTTGCCCAAATCTACAATAGAAAATTAATTTATAAATGAGTTAGTGCTAACTATTAAATTCTTTTTCTCTACAAAATAAATACATAAATAAATAATTAAAAAATCTTAAACGGGATGTTTGTTTTGCACTAATTTTGGTTAAATTGAGTACTTACTTACGTACTTACTTACATGTACTTTTATTTTGTCTATACATAGCTAAGTTATATGTATAGTGCCAACTCCATTTATATATGAAATTAAGGTGGTGATGATGTACATAAAAACTATAGACAGAAAGCAACGTGACATCTACCACTAGCGAAAGCAACTAAATCATTTGGCACAATTTTGTGAATCATAATGATGATTAGGCGTGACTCCATTAAGCACTAAATTAATCAACATTCTTTACTTAATTTCAGGGTTATATAATTATAAGATCCCACTCATATGCTTTGGAAATAGAAGTAGGGGTTCAAGCGGTCCGATTTGGTCCGGTTTTAAGGATTTTTGGAATCAAACTGTCCCAACAATTCCAAAGAATCTGAAATTGGACCAGACCATTTGAATTATGGAACTGAACCAGCCCAAACTGTGAAAAAATAGTTTCATTCGGTTTGGTTCTAGTTGAATTCTTTTTCCATATCTTTTTGCCCTTAAATTGTATATTCAACAAAAATAAAAAGCATTCATATTTCTGAATCCAAGACTAAAATAGAAAGGGAAAAGTGGATGAAATAGATCTAAAAGTTAAATCTTAAAAATTAAAATATGGTTGAATGTTGCTAAAACTGAAATGATGACAAATTCGTAGTTAAAAACTAAGAAATTTGATTTGTTATCGTTGTTTGTTGTGATTGAAGCGCAATCACGTTATGAGACTCAAAAATTGTAAACTGAAAGTGAGAGAGAAGGGGAGAGAGTGGAAGAAAGGATGTCACCGATGGTAACGATAAAAGATCGTTGACGATGACCGAACTTTGAAAGTTTCGTGAAAGAGATAAATCAATAACTGGATCTCGCGACAATAAGAATTAATAAATGAATGAGACAATGTGAGAAAGAAAAAAAATGAGATAGTAGACAAAAAGCAAATAAATAAAAAAATTAAATAGTGATGAATATTGACTCACCTTTGATCGTTGTGCTAAAATTTCTTGTAAGTGATAGCCCTATTGTTTTCTGTGTCTTTGTACGCGTCTAAATGTAATATACAAGTATAGTTATATATAACATATATATATATATACACACATATGCATATTATAACAGCTCAGTCTGGACTGGTTCAATCCTGTAAGACTCTAATTCGAATTTGAACAAAAAATTCACGGTTTGAAAATATATACGGACTAAAAAATTTCCTGCAACCATCTCTTTATGTGGCCATAATTGTAGCAGTAACACTAAATGTGATCGTACACAGTTACACACTATGCGTTAGTAAATGACCAACCACAAAAAGGCACACTGATAAATGGGAGGGGGTTAAACGTCAAATCCAACACTAATGTCACCCAAAATTAACACATCCCAATATATATAACGTACACCAAGTTCCACCGGCCGACAGTATTTCCGGCCACCATTGTAAAATGATGGTGAAACTTTAAGCTAGCAAACTACAGCGTCCTTTTAGCTTCTATTTCAATTCCCCGGCGAGTGTGTCAGATTTCCGGCGCCGCTTTCAACCTCGCGAGAAGGAGAAGCCGCCGGAGTGTAATACAAGGGCGAAGCACAAGGTGTCGAAAACGGCGTCATCTCTTCACCAACGTCGTCAATCCTCACGGCCACCTCCGGCGATTCTCCGCCGGCGGACCGTAAACACTCCTCAAACAGAATACTCTTAGTCTTATTGTGACCCTTCTCAGTAGAAGACAGAGACTTCTCGGACTCTACATCTTCTCTCTCTTCCTCCTTGATAGTAAACAAAACCCTCGACGGCCCGTACAACCCCTGCAGCTTCAGTATATCAACTATCTCCGCCGGATCATCCGGCGAATACCCATCTGAGCCGCCGCGGGTGGGAGCTCCATCTGGTTCGACCCGAGACTGGCTTTTCCAGCAGAAGAAGTAGAGGAGCTCCTTGGAATTAGAGGGATTAGTTGAGAATGAATCGCTGCCGTGGTCGCCGCCGTGGACGGGAAAGTTGTTGCGGCGGAAGACACGGCGACGCCAGAGGACGTAGAAGAGCTCGGCGACGAGGGCCACGAGCGAGAACGCGAAGACTATGGACAGAGCTATCCCGAGCTTGCTTAGACCACTCATGTCTCAACAATAACAGCAAATACGGTGGTTACCACTATCGGATGATGGTAAACAACAATAATACTATCCTAGAAATTGGACTTGGTCTGAGTGGGGAAGGTTAACCGGTGGTTTGCTGGAAAGTTGGGGAGTGGACGAGAGACTTTGATGCTGATAGGTATGTGGTCTACCCGGTTGCCGGTTGTAAACTAACGGATATATTAATGAGGAAAATTTTCTGGGAAATGTGGGAGGAGGTAAAGTGTGACGTGGACATCAAGGTGTACTGACGTGGAGTGCTTTTTCTTTTTACTCTTTTTTTTTTTTAAATTTGAAATGATTAGCCGGAAAGGAGGGGAGTTTATGATGTATTTATGACAATTTATTTTTTAAAAAAATATAAATGAAATTTAACATAATATTAAAGTCCACGAATTATTTTGATAAATAGAATAAATGCAAGTATGATAGCTGGTGTTAGGAGACCAAATACGACATTGGCTCGATATGATTAATTATCATATATGTGAAAGTAAAATATTTTATGGATGCATATAGATTTCTAAAAACTTCATATATTATACATTTGTTATTTTTATTTTCTTATCTCATTCATTAATATATTATAAACTCCAATGGGACCAAGACCTTGACATATCAATTTTACTGATGCAGTAGTGTATTTATATTTCGTCTTATAGGTTGCTCTTTCTCTTAGGATATCATTTGAATATAGTGATGGATTTCCAATTAGACTGACTTTTTATTAAAATAATAAATTGATAATTACACATTTACACGCATGACACATCATATGATAGTGTAGCATGATTATAAAGTTTTAAATCATGTGATTTAACGGACAAAAAAGAGTTTTAAATCATGTGACGACCTTGACCTACCAAACCGATAAGCAATAGACCTAGAAATAGTTTAACGTCATAATCTTAGAAGATGTCGTTGTGGTGACGTGGATCGATTGGCGATAAGGATGATCAGGCCTGTACATGGGCCTCTATTATCCATCACTTTCTTATTTTAGCACTCAACCATAAGGCCAATTTCCGTGGGTATGGGTCATGCAATTTCAGGCCTAAGAAAGCTACACGAACACCGACGGCCTCAAGAGAGGGCCAGTTCAATCGAGAATATGGGCTTAAGAGGTGAAAGGGCTTGCACAGACGAGCACTTTATGGTGGACTTTAGGGATGTCAATTTCCTTCGACCTGGCAAGTTTTCGCCCCACCCCTAAAACCATCTCCAATGCTAAAAGTCATTTTCACATGTCAAATTTATATTTTGACAGGTGCTATAATGTCAAAATACTATATTTTAACAATTCTACTCCAATAGTGCATTTCATTCAAATGCTATTTTTTGACACAACTATCATTATTTTTCAACTGCTATTCCTACCATTCATATTTGCATCAGTAATATTAATATTAGGCACATTTCAGGTCAAGTTGTAGACATTAGAAGGAAACTAAAATTTAACCTAATTAAAAAGAAGCAAAAATTTAAAATATCTGGTCAAAAAAGGACCGAAAAAAAAAAAAAAAAAAAAAAAAAAAAACAAACTAAATTTTATTATTTTTTTACCACTATTTGTGAATTAATTTTTTTATTTAATATATTTTTTTCTTTTTCAGAAATTTATATATATATATAAATATATTATATATATTTGATTACATTATTATTAAAAATATTTTTAGGGCAAATCATTTCAGCTTCCCCAATCGCCTCCATCTCTATTCTGGTTCTCAACTCTGAGAACTTGCCTTCTTTCTCTCTCTCTGCAACTGCAAACTACAAAATCTACAAGAATCAGAAGTTCAAAACCCATATATTTCAGTTTATCTATCTGTCTGCAAGAATCCAAAGTTTAAAACCTATTACCTATATCAAAACCCATATCGGCATATCATTTCACATTGCTCAAAAAATCAAAACCCATATCTTTCAGTTTCCATCGCCAGTTGTTCCAGATCGGGTTCGCCGTTCGCAAGCTTCAGCCGCTGTCTCAACTCTCAAGCTCCCCCCCCCCTGCAACTGCTAACTTGTATGTATGGATTTCATTTTAATTTTTTTTCTAAATCAACTAATCGAGGTCTGTAATTCTTGATTTTGTGCATATATATATATATATATATATATATATATATATATATATATATATATATATATCAAAGTCTGTAATTCTTGTTTTGTAATTAAAAGTTCAAAACCTATATATTTCTATTAGATTTGGCACAAAATATAGAAATAGCCTATTTGTGTTGCTAAATTTAGCACAAAAAATGGCAAAGGCAAATTTTAACCGCCAATATAGCAGCCCATTGGAGAGCTCAATTTTAACCCACCTGCTATATTTTGAATTGGAAGCTCATATGACAACCCCATTGGAGATGCTCTAATGGGGCGGATTTGGTAACCCCTAAATGAGTTTGGGACGGATATGATAAAATAATTAAAAACCCAAAGCGAATTTGGGGCGGAGGCGAATTTAGTGATAAAACCGCCTTGCCCCGATTATATATGTTCCTTTAAAATTTAGATATATATATATATATATATATATATATATATAATATTTTTAAAACTCTTGTTACTTTGCTGCAAGTATATTAATATTTTTTTTAGTTGGTACTCACACACTCGTGTCTCTACTGAGGCTTGAACCCCTAACCTTCCTTTAAGAAGTAAGAGTTTGGTATCGCTGGGTCATTAGTAAGTATATTAATGTTCACTACTCAGTAGTTTAAAAGCCGAGCCAGCATATTTATCAGCCAAATTTGAGCACATTGGGCTAGGTTTTTTTATTTTTTTTATTTTTTTATTTTTTAAAATAATAAAAGTAGCATAACTCGCCCCACCCCGCAATTAAACGGACTACACAAGGCAAGATCGATACTTTGTCTATTGGAGCAGAGGCGGAGATAATATACCAATTAGAAACTCGTTTCAAAGTAGGAGAGGAATTAGTATGACGAATTCTCTAAGGAGGCAAAATAGGGTTTAGCTAAATCTATTCGTTGCCATCACAACAGGACTTCAGTTCAAGAAAAAAAAAAAAACAAAAAACAACAACATATTAAGCTTGCTATCTAAATTTCACTTATTATTTAAAATAATAAAATAAATTTGTGCTTCACTAGTCGTTGTTCTTAAATGCACAAAATAGACACCTCCTTCCTCACAGTCTTGTCTCACTTTTCATAGAATTCACCTTTAATGCAAGTTACAATGCACTCTAACCGCTGATAAAGATTATACAACTTTAGAAGAAACATCTAGAAAGAAATATGTACTTAGATGTGACAAGAGTGTGGATTGTGGAATGGTCTAGAATATTATATTGATTTAAATATTTAGGATATATTAGGGGAGAATTACATAGAGTTTATCTTACTAGTAACTTGCATCCTAAAAACACCTATAAATAGATGAGGTTTTCAGATGGTCCACTAATGCCCAAGTTAATGGTGCAAGCACTCTCACTTGGGAGTGTTACTTTGTGTGAGAGTGGAAGTGTTAGCTTTGTAAATAATTAAATTTTGTTTAGTAGTATAAATATGAAAAAAATAAAAATCACTTTTAAGGAATGAGTGTTGAGCAGAAAATTATTGATTATCTGAATCCTTATTCGAACTTTTAAACTTGTAATAAACGCATTATTGAATCTAAAATCATTTGCTTACATTTATGATAATATAGGAATATAAAATAAACTAAAAAGATGGAGTTAATTTGGATAAAATATTAACGTAAAATAAAAAAGACATTGATTGTTTGAATTTTTTTATTTTCTTTCCTTAAGCTCAAAATATATATATAATGAAGGACTTTTTAAAAAAAAGTGATTCCATAGCCTGGATAATAATTGGCCCAATTCAGTGAGGGAAACAAGAACCTGTGATTGCTTTGGGCCCAAAAACAGGATAGTATGAGCTGGGCCACAGCGAAACATTTCTTGCAGAAGTATCAAAATGAAATCATAGTATCTTATATAACCTAAGAAGCATGGACGTGCCATGTCCGTGTTTGACTCCGACATTTTGTGTGAGACACGCCTAG